TCAAGTGTGCAATATATGTGTGGACATACATGTAGCCCATGTGTGGAACCCAGAGAACATTGGGAGCCCTGGCCTATCATGCTGTCTTATTCCCTTGAGACAGGGAACCTGTTGAACCTGGAGATATGCTGGTGGCCAGTAAACCCCAGAAAGCCTGTCTCTGCCCACCGCAGCTCTGGGTATAGGGGCATGCTCAATCATGCTCACATGCTGGGGCTTTGAACTCATTCCCTCATGCTTGGGCAGCAGATGCTCTTACTGGCCTAGCCTTCTCCCTAATCCCTCTCTCCAGCAAATTCTAGGTGAGTTCTTTGAATTAACTTCATTGGAGAATGTTATGGTCAGAGCTTTTAAATTTTTTCATTTCCTTTGACTACTGTTTTACAGCCTTTTCAAATTTTGGAGAAACCTGAGTTAGAAGAGTTTTCTTCCTCCCAGGGCACTGCTTTTTCTTGGCTCATTTCGCTACAAACTAGAAAAGTCCCACAACACAAACCATAGCATTTGCTCAGCCTGTGACCAGACAGCTCCAATTCTGAGACTAAAAACAAAATTTTTCCACATCACTCTCCATCCTGATTTTGTCTTGGTTTTGATTAGTTTCTTTTTAAAGAAGTAATTGTGTGTGTGTAGGTGCCCATGGAGACCAGAGGCATCAGATTCCCCCCTGCAGCTGGAGTTATAGGCAGCTGTAAGCTTGGGTCCTCTGCAAGAGCAGCAGCTGCTTTGAGTTGCTGAGCTCTCTCTAGCTCCCTGATTAGTCTTGTTTTTGAGACAAGGACTCTATGTTGACCTGGCTGGTTTCAAACTCTTGGAGTCAAGTGATCCTTTAGTCTCAGCTTCCCGTGTAGCTATGACTACAGCCAGCCACCACAGCATCTAGCTGGCTTCTTTCCCCTGGATATTACAATAGTATAAAGATTCTTAAATGGTGTCTTACTATGACACCAAACGCACACACAGAAAAGAAAAAAAAGAACTTTACTTCATTACAAAAAAATAAAAAATCTTTTTTCCTGTGGATATCACCAAGAAAATGAAAAAAAAAAAAAAAAAAAAACAAAGAAAACACACACACACAAAAAACCACTACAGGAGAAAATACTTGGAAATCATGGATCTGATAGGGACTTGCATCTAGAATAAAGTACTCCTACACTTCAATAATAATGATAAATCATATAGGCAAAAGCTCTGAATAGACCTTTCTCCAAAAAAGACAGAATGGTCAGTAAGTACCCGGAAAGATGCTCAGTGTCACTCACTGTTGGAGAAAGTCAAATCAAAGCATCACTACACCCGCTGGGATAGCTGTTCTAAGATCCAGGGGCAAGGGTGTGCAGGAACTGGACACCCCCGCGCCCCCTCACTGCTGCTAAGAATGCAAAATGCTGCCACTGCTTTGGAAAAAAGCCTGGCAGTTCCTTACATACTTTCTTAAAAAGATCAACACATGACCTGGTCATTCCACTCCTAGGAGATTCCCTGAGAATTTGAAAGGCTGTAGCCGTACAAAGCTTTTAAGCTCTTGTACACAGCATTGTTCTAGTAACAAAGAGCAGAAACAGCTTATGTTCATAAATCGACAAATGGACAAACAAAACGTGGAATATCTGCCTGAGAATGGAGTATTGCCCCAATCTCAGCGGAAGAACTATGGGCAGCTGAGTACTGCTGGGTGAGGAAGAGCTGATCTTCTTGAAGGGAGAGACTCTAGATAGGCTGACTAGACCCCAGTGGATGAGGCTTCACTGAGGGGCATCTGGGGACACTAACTTCACACAATAGGCCTTAATACAAATGACAGAATGTATGAACTCCAGTGGGAGGTGGGGGGGACTATGGGAGGGTGCCGAAGAGGAAAGGGGTGTAAAGATGATTTTATGTATGAAATACATGAAATTCAATAAAAACTTATAGAAAGAAAAGAATGGAGTATTATTCAACAATAAAAAGGAATTAAATATTCATGTTACATTATGGATGGGTGTCTAAACCATGTAAAGAAACTAGTCACAAAATACCACAGATTGAAGTCCATTTACACAAAATTCCAGAAAGGACAAATCTCAAGAAACAATAGAAATTGGTGGCTGCCTATTGCTGGAGAATGATTCAGTGGGTACTGGGTACCTTGTGGTAGAGGATGTTACTCCGTGAACATGCTAAATACCATTAGAAGGTATTAAGAGATTAATGGTATGTGACCATATCTATAAAGCTCTGAATTCCTCCACGAACGCTTTTACTTCTTGATCCTCGGGAGAACCGGGGCCGGCGGTTCACAACTACATGCGTATTTGTGTATGTACATATACATTAGTGTCATAAACTGTGAAATCTTGTTTTACCCACGTGAGCTTTCCAGATGTCATGTGATTGTGAAAATAACTCTACAAAGTATTGCAATATATATATATATATAATATATAAATTAATGGATGGATGGTCGTTATTGTCCTAAGCAGCCCCGACTGGCCTGAACATCTTAATCTTAACGCAGCTGACCTCCAACTTGCAGCAATCCTACCTCAGCCCCCTGAGTGTTGGAATTGCAACTGTGCGGCCCCAAGCTTTGTCTTTCAAGGTTAGAAATAATTTGGGAGGACTGGTACTCTCAATCGTGGTTTTGGACAACTTATAGAAGGGTGGATTCCGGCAATTTCTTGGGTTCGTGGATAAAAGCCATTGACAGTACATTCTGATTTCACCAAGTGGAAAGCCGCTGTTTAGGATCCTGGGCCGCTCCAGTTGCATCCGGGCGGCCAGACCTGCGGCGCACAGGCTCTGCACCACGTGTACAGTGACCTTCGCCGGTTGCTTACGTAACTGAGATGTCTGCACCTCGGAGCCCGAGACTCCGCGCTCTTTGGGTCAAGGACCATGTGAATCCGCAGTGCCCGGTCCCCAGCGCCCTCCACGGCTGAGGACCGAGTGCGGCCCGCAGGGCACGAAGTAGGTCTGCGCCGGCCGAGTCCTCCGGCTCCCCGGGCCCCATTCAGGGACCCTCTCCGCGCGCGTCCGCTGGTTCCCCCGAGAATCAGGAAGTAAAAGCGTCTTCCGGCCACCTTCCGACGCACTTCCCCTTCCCTAGCCTTTCCCGCTCTGGCTTCCGCGTTCACCCGGAAGCTTCCGCGTTCACCCGGAAGCTTCCGCGTCCCAACCGCCGCAAAACGACACCATCCGCGTGCGGCGCTTTAGACGGCGCAGGGCGTGTTTTTATGGCGTCACGAGGCGTGACCAGACGCCAACGCCAGGCTCTGGGACTTCCTGACGGGGGGGTAGGGGGTGGTGAGTGGCGGGAGCCGCTTTCCCCGCCCTGGGACGTTCCATCGTGGAGAGGGGGATCCGTGTTCGTGTTCGAAAACGTCCTCCCGGGGACGGCAACGCCGCACGAAAGGCTTCGCCTCAAGGCCACGCGCAGTGATATATTCAACTCATCCGGCGTCTCCCTGACTGGCGTTTCCCGCCTCGTGATCCCGCAAGCCCTCCCGCCCTCGCCGCGTCTCCCCCCGCGCTCCTGCACACGTGGTACAGTCCAGGCCCCGCAGGCGCAGAGCGCGCGGGGCGGTGCCGCCGAGGGGTGGGTGACGCAGCGGCGGTCGCTGCCATTTTAAGTTGTTTGTTCTCCTTCGGTTCCCTCAAACGCGACTCAGCCCCGGACCCGGGAGGCGCCCGAGGCAGCCGCCGCTTCCGCAGCCGCACCGGTGGGGGCCACAGAGGCCGTGGCCGCGCGGACGCTCGCCCTCCGCCCCGCACCTCGCTCCTCGGGCTCTCCCGTCCCAGCCGGCCCGCCGGACGCAGCACCGCCGCCGCGGGATCGAGCGCTCGGCGCTCCGCGCAGGCCTAGTCAGGGCTCCCCTCCCCGCCCGCCGCGTCCTTCCTGCGCCGCCGTCCGGGGCGCCGCGCCCGACATGGGGCCCAGGTGGGGGCTGAGCGGCGGCTGCAGCGCGCGCGGCCCGGCCTCAGAGCGCAGCGACGCGGGCATGGCGGGGCTCCGGCGGCCCCGCGGGGTCTCTTGACATGGCTACCGCCCGTGCCGCGAGCAGTGCCCCCGCCGACTCCTCCGCCGCCGTTCGGCCCGCAGGCTGCGGCTAGACGGCCCCCGACGGCCGGTCGCCACCCCGCCGCGCTCGCCCCGGCCTCCGCGCCCCTGGACATGGGCTGCTGACGGACGGCCGGAGCGCACCCCTGATCCGTCCTGCTTCCGGGAGGGTGGGCGGGCGTCCCGTAGTGTCACTCTTTCTAACACGGCTGTCCTCTCTCCCCCCCACCCGCCTCCCCACGCTCCCTCCTCCCGCCGCCTCCACCCGGGCGGGCATGGTGTCCACGGTGCCATGAGTGAGAGCCCGAGTGATTCCGAGTCTCCCTTGGTGCGAGTGAGTCGCTGCCGCTGAAGGCGGGGTGGGGTGGGGACCCGGGCCCGGCCTGGGACGTGGGCGCACCCGCTCCTGGCCCCAACCATGCTCGCCCCAAGATAGTGGCCTCCCCTCCATCCCGAACCCGAGCCGGGCCAGACTCGCCGCGGAGGGCTCCCGGGGAATGTAGACTCGCCGCAGGGCGAGGGTGCAGGGCCGGTGTAGCTGGCCGCGGAGCCGAGTGCGTCCCCCGTCGGTCCCCCTCCTCGGCCGCCATGGTTCTCCTTGGCAGCAGCGTTGGCAGCCGCCTGAGGGTGAAGACGTGGGTGATGGGGAAGTGGGTAGTGACTCCGCTGTTTCTTCTCATGGCTCCTCTGGGCACCAGCTGTCCGCCCCCGGCACGCACTGTAGTTGATGGCAGGGACGCCCTGAACCTCGCCCCTTCCTCGTCTGCCGAGTTTGCACCTTTCTCTTTGCTCACCACCAAGTGTAATCAATAACAAGCACCGACAGTACATAGCAGTAGTGAAATCTGAAATAACTAAGAGTTAATTAGCTGCCCCAGCCATGGGTCTGGCGGGGTAAAGTCCAACTGGGTATTTCAGTTTCATTCACCGACCCTGTTTTGGTGGTTTTATTTTGTTTTTGTTTTCTGCATTTGGGGAGCAACATCCCACTCCCCTCCCTTTTCCTTTCCTTTCATTCCTTTTTTAAAAAGGGGGAAAATCCGGATGGATTTCAAGGATTGGACTGGTGTCAGCTGTGTTTATCGCACACCTAAATCCTGATGATAGGGTTTTCGTTTCCTCCTCAAATCCTTTTATTTTGGCAGTTAAGCCTAATGTGTTTTCCAGAAAGTTAGTTCAAGTCTTTTCTCCTCTTTCTTTCCTTCCCTCCCACCCCCTTTTCCCATCTAACCGTAAATATTATTGTCCAAACATGCCTGGGCAGCAGTCTTTCTTTCTTGACCCTGTGATATGACAGTCTGCTAATATTGCCAGAAAGTGCAGTGTCGGGAGTTACAGTTGTGATTTTAGCTATTCAATCATATTAGCAGGAAAAAATGACTTGTTTCTGTTGTACTTGAGTCTTAAGAAAAAGTGCCCATAGTTTAGTGACAATTTCCAAAGGCTTTAGTACCACCTGTATTTCAAAATGGGGGACCCAAACTCCCGGAAGAAACAAGCTCTGAACAGACTCCGTGCTCAGCTTAGAAAGAAAAAAGAATCTCTAGCTGACCAGTTTGACTTCAAGATGTATATTGCCTTTGTGTTCAAGGAGAAGGTAATTTAACGTTCTTAGCACATGTGATTTTTGTGTCTATTAAGTTATAGTTCCAGTGCTGTATGAACATTAGGTTTGAGTGTGTGGAGAAAGTGTACTTGTTGCTCACGCCTAAGGGTGACTAGAGTCCTGTCTGTGGAGGTGAAGTGGGAGGCCACTCCGGATTGATTTTGAGATGCTAGATTCTGAGGGCCTAGAGTCTGCACAGAGCAGTCGGGGCAGTTTTCTGCAGCATCAGTAGGGTGATGGGTGCTGGGTGACGGGGTGCCTGTTACATTGGCATCCAGTGTCTGTATGCTAAACAGCCTGCTTTGTCAAACCTTACATATTTAATGAAATAGAAGACAGTTCAAGTTTTAGGAGCAATTAAATACTGAAATGGTTAATTTTTGCTTAGAACTTTTAATTTAGAAAAGTGACCTACAGAGGAAGTTTTAATTTTTTGGACTTAGTCTAGTTCCACAGTTAAATGTGAAGTAATTATGTAAAAGTGAAGGGCATACGTTGGAGACAGTGTCTGCAGTTTCCAATGGGCATCTTCTGAAATCACCAAAGGCTGACAGACTGGGCTATGAACACAGGGTGTGATGTTGGCTTCTCGACTAAACGTGAGATGTGCGTGAAGTGTGACCTCAGTCCACATCTGTGCACATTGGGGTTTTCCAGGATGTCACCTCACTTCAAGTTTCTGTGTTTAAGAACCTTCAGTGTTGGAAAGTGGTTTCAGAGCAGTTTGTGCTGAAGTGATTACTCAAAGTGGGTAATTCCAAGGATGATCTAGTTTTCACATTTTTAGTGTGTCCTTGCTTTTTTTTTTTTTTTGGACTGCAAAATTGGTAAAACCAGATTAATTTAGTTAAAGGGAACTGCTGTTTGGTTCTGAACCCAAGGTCCAAGTGGTGTGAGGAGCGGTCTGGTGGTTCACAGTGGCCTGCAGTATGCTGTACAATTGTCTAACATTGCTCAGAAGGGGCTGTATCCTCAACTGGCCCTGAATGATTTGTGCTCTGTAGGACAGAGTTTTATGAGCAATATTGGTAATGAGCACTTGATCATAACGAATTGGGAAGCAATTTAGTGCACTTGTTTTTTCCTTTCAAAGACTGACAACTCTAGTCAGAATATCTAGAAGAACAATGGAACTTTTTCAGGAATAAAAGAATTTGTCTGAGTACTTGTGCTTTTTAAACTGATGAGATTTTAATGTAGTTGTACATAGAAGTAGCCAGTTAAGTGAAATTTTGTGTCAACACTACCTCACTGAACTCCTCTCTTTTAGAAGAAGAAGTCAGCACTCTTTGAAGTGTCTGAGGTTATACCAGTCATGACAAACAATTATGAAGAAAATATTCTGAAAGGTGTGCGGGATTCCAGCTATTCCTTGGAGAGTTCCATAGAGCTTCTGCAGAAGGATGTGGTGCAGCTCCATGCTCCTCGGTACCAGTCTATGAGAAGGGTGAGTTTTGTCGGAGTCTGGAGGTGTGTTTGTAGGAGTTAGAGCTTGCGATTTTCCCACTGGAAATGGGTCTTGGTGCTCAAGCTGCACTGAGTTGGAAAATGAAGCTTTGCCTCAGTGTTCTTGGCTAGATGAATCTAGAGGCGCCATCCATCGTCCCAGGTGTATGGGTTTCTGTTTCTTGGAGTTCTTCTTTTGAGGAGAGTGCCAACGTCTCCGTTATGAAAACCTACCGTGAGAATACAGGGCTGCCGTCAGAACTCGGCAGTACACGGAAAGTTAATCTGGAGCAAACTTGAACTGCATCCTGGTCTGGAAGAGACGTCTTAACGTGTGGAGATAGATGTGGGCTGTCTTAGTGGGGACAAGATGGAGAGAAGCTGTTTTCCTGTCAACACATGAAATAGCCTTTCAGCTGTAGTAAGATAGTGATTCACATGAGACATTCTGGGAACCTTTGCTGAGTCCATTCTGAGTTTGAAAAGTGGAAGCACAGGCGCCGGTGGCAACATTAGCTTTAGCTGGAATTGAACCATGACAGTGGAAGGTGTGAGGAGCATGGGGCTGAACGCCTGTGTAGGGGGAGAAATGAGTATCAGCAGGAGCATGTAGATTGTGTGCAGTCTTAGGACTGTCGCCCTGAAGATGGCAACGCCAGGCGGTGGCCTCAGTTGAGGCCCTGCTTCTGCAGCACATCCTTTACTTCCTGCCTTTTGTTCCCACTTTGTTTCTTGAAAATTAAAAAAAAAATTTGTTGTCATTTTCTAGGACGTAATTGGCTGTACTCAGGAGATGGATTTCATGCTTTGGCCTCGGAATGATATTGAGAAAATTGTCTGTCTCCTGTTTTCTAGGTGGAAGGAATCTGACGAGCCTTTTAGGCCTGTTCAGGTACTGTGTGACTATACTGGGCTCTGTAGCCAGTGAGAACACCTGTAGCGGGTATAGCGGGTGTAACGTGAGGGAGCCTTTGGGAGCACCTTCCAGTAGGTGTAAGTCCTAAATCCTTCCTGTCTCTGAACACTGATGGACAAGAAGTGGCACGAGGACTAGAGTCTTGTGATGATTCTGGTTCTGTCTAGTGCATCTTTGAAATTGGGGCCAGAGCAAATCTTTTAGGGTGGACATTTGATTTATAAAGGGAGATCCTGCCAGGAGTGGTAGTGCATGCACGCCTTTGATCTCAGGACGCCAGAGGCAGAGGCAGGTGGCTCTCTGAGTTCAAGGTCAGCTGGGGCTACAGGGAGACCCTGTCTCAAAAAGACGAAAAAAAAAAGTAAGATTAAAAATAATCACGATGAAAGCTTACGCTTACTTTAACTTACTCAGAAGTTCCGTGAAGGAGCTGCAGCACCTGTGGGTGGTCTGGGTCTGGGTAGTAGCTGCCGATTGTACATTGCACCCGCCCTGCATGATAACGGCACTCGTTTCATCCCCTGAAGTCATTGGTTTATCATTTTAAAATGTATTTTAGTTATTTTAATTTTATGTGTATGAGTGTATTGCCTGCATTTATATAAGTACACCTGTGTCATGCAGTGCCCTTGGAGGCCAGAAGGATGTGTTGGATCCCCTAGAACTGGAGTTGCAGACAGTTGTTAACTGCCATGTGGGTGCTGGGAATTAACCCAGGTCCTCTACAAGAGCAGCCAGTGCTCTTAACTTCTGAGCCATCTCCTCAGCCTCCCCCACCCCCTAAGTAATTTAAAGCAGTCATTCCCTCCATTATATATCCTATGGGGATTGGTTCCAGGGTCTCTGTATATGTTTGGGTTACATAAAATGGTGTAGTATGTACATAGAACCTCCTGTATACTTACCTATTCTATTTTGTTTAATTTATTTTACTTGATATCATTTTATTTTTGGTCTTTTTGAGACAAGGTCTCCCTGTAGCCCCAGCTGGCTTTGATTGAACAGAGCTCTGCCTGCCTCTGCCTCCCACTCTGGAGTGCTGAGACTAAAGGCTTGAGCTACCACACCCGCTGGCAGTGCGTGCTTATCTTAGATTTCTTCTTATACCTGATGCAGTAATGGCTGTGTACATAGCGCTCTGCACTGTTGTGTTGGCAATAGCAGCAGAAAGTCCACGCTTACTCAGTAGCGATACAGATCTTACTGCTCTCGTACCTTTCCTCTGGGAGTAGTTGAGCTGCCAGAAGAAAAAAATATTTTTTTATGTGTATGCATGTGTTGCCTGCATGTATGTAAGTGCACCCTTGCAGTGCCCAGAGGAAGGCCTTGAATCCCCTGTAACTGGAGTTACATATAGCTATCTGTTGTGTGGGTGCTGGGATTCGAACCCCAGTCTTCTGCAGGAGCAGCCATTACTCTTACCACTGAGCCAGCTCTCCAGCCCCAAAATCTTGATACTTTTGAATCTTAGTACACCTATAATGAGATTTTACACAGTCCTGAATAAAGCCTGTAAATAAGAAATCCTTTACAGGAAGTACTGGGAGGTGCTAGGCAACAGGGTTTTGCTCTTTTCCACCCCATCCCTCCCCTGATGTAGCTGCTGTTTGGTGTCCTGACCCTGTCTCTAAAGAGTTCCTTTAGATCTTGCTTGGTGTGGACCACTCCCTCCCCAGAAGGGCCAGTAGGAGAGAGTTGAAGTGCCATAGAGTTAGTTAATACGGCGGCCTTTTCCATCTCTTGGATTCCTGGCTGTTTGTAGTGGGGCACCGTATTGGCTGTTGGGCTTATAAGAAAAGTTAGTGTGTATATACCTTACATATATTAGGTACATATGTCTAATATATATACTTACATACACATTGCATAAGGAGTTACAACATGTTGGAGTGCTGTCCAGTAGAGCCTTCTGCAATGAAGGAAATGTCTACATTTCAGTAAGTTGTTAAGACAGTAGCGAGTATCCAGGTGTCATTTGAACATCGAAATGTAGCTAGTTTACTGAGGTCTGACTTTTTGTTTGTCTTTGAGACTGGGTCTCCCTGTAGCCCCAGCCTGCTTCTGCTGAGATTAAAGGTGTGTGCCATCATGGCCCTCGACTTTTTTGTTTTTTGAGACAGTTCTGGGTCTATCCCTGGCTGGCCTGGCAAGAACTTTATTTTTGTTGTTGCCTTTTTAAATGAACTGGACAGGGCAGACAGTGTACATATGGAAACAGAGGATGGCTAGGTGTGTAGTATAATTGTTGTTACATAAAACGTTTGTATTTGTAATTAGGCCAAATTTGAGTTTCATCACGGTGACTATGAAAAACAGTTTCTGCATGTGCTGAGCCGCAAGGACAAGACAGGAATTGTTGTCAACAACCCTAACCAGTCCGTGTTTCTCTTCATTGACAGACAGCATTTACAGGTAAGAAGTTTTCGAAAACTCATTTGGGGCTGATGTGAAATTAAGTATGAGTCTTAGTCCTCACTGTAGAAGTTCCCAAACTTTGTTCCACATGAACACTTCTGGGGAGCAGAAAGTCCTCATGTGATGAGGATACAGTGTTTGAAAAACACTGACATAGACAGTGTGTGTGTGTGTGGAAAAACACTGACATAGACTGTGTGTGTGTGTGTGTGTGTCCGTGTCCGTGTCCGTGTGTGTCCTCAGGCACTGTTTGCCTTGGTTTTATGAGACAGTGTCTCTCAGTTGCCTGCAACTCCTGAAGTAGGCCCGGCTGGCTGGCCAGCAAGCCCCAGGATCTGCTGCCTGCCCCCCAGTGGTATGCAGCCCACCTAGGCCCTGTTGCTCAGCTGGGCAAGCGCTGTCCCGAGTGAACTGCCGACGCAGCCATCTCGGAGGCTTTCTAATAAGAGTCTGAAGCACGAGGCACATCTCTGCAGCAACCCCACACTGCTGCCTGGAAATCCCAGCAGATGTTCTGCAGGAAAAATTGAGGCGGAGAGGAAGAGGTATGCTAGGGCTGTAGGTGTTTTCCCAGAGCAAGCTCATGTCCGAGGTGGAGGGTCTCTCAGACAGAGACACTTGTGAGGAGGTCAGAGGACAACGCAGGAATTCAGATTTGGCATCAGATCCCCCGAACTGAAAAAAAATCATAGGCCATTGTTAGCCACCATGTGGGTGCTGGGATTTGAACCCTTGGGGTAACGAGGAAGTGCTGCCCCCCCGGGGAGGCTAGATTACAGGCAGGAGACACAGAACTCGGTCTACAGCTCTTTATTCCAAGTCTCAGTGACCCAGTCCCCGCTCTAGCCCCAAGTCTGCTTCTAGCTCCAAATATTGAGAGAAGACTAGGACATTTATACCATGGGGGTAGTGGTAAAAGCTTTGGCTGTTAGGTACTTTGTGAGACATTGTATTTACATATGGAAGTGGGTTTCTGCCAGACTGCTGTCTGCCTGAAAAATCACAGGAAAGCATGGTATTCCTAAAACCAGAGGCCATGTTTATGTTATGGCATTTGTGGCGGGCACTTCAAAAGGAGAGTCAGGAAAGATGCCAGGAAGGCACCCTGCTATGAAAGGAGCCCCAGCACATAATCCTGAGCTGCATGAGCTGTCCGGACGTGAAGGGGCTTCTACTTTGCATAACAGAGGTCCCCAACATTGGCCTTCTCCAAGAGTAGCCCGTGCCATTTACCGCTGGGCCATGGCTCCAGCCCTTTCACTGCTTTCTAATTTTGCCTCTCAGCTTCTAATCGATCTGTTTGACTTCCCCAACATGCTCTCTTAGTTCTGCACAACATTCTTGATGCTTTCATTTCAGAAGCATTTCTACTCTGCCTGCCTGTTTTCCCTCAAATCTTGTATGCCAGGATCATAATAAGGACCACAGTTTGATCACAGGTTTTGTTTGTTACGTTTTGTTTCATATGATCTTTTTGAGTAGTCTTCCTGTAAACCCCAGCTGCCTTGGAACTCATGATGGGAACCAGGCTGGCCTCCATCTCCCAGAGATCTGCCTGCCTCTGCTGGGATCAAAGGTGTGCAACCACCACACTGGGCTTTATCACAGGTTCTTAATAGTGAGAAGTTGACAATGATTTTAAACTGCTTATAGTATTAATTTTTTTCTTCCTTCTAGACTCCAAAAAACAAAGCTGCCATCTTCAAGTTATGCAGCATCTGCCTCTACCTGCCACAGGAGCAGCTCACCCACTGGGCAGTCGGCACGGTTGAGGATCACCTCCGTCCTTACATGCCAGAGTAAGCACGAGCACCGAGCAGCCAACGGAGAAGACCAGGGACGCAGCCGTTTTCTTTTGTTTTCTTACCACTTTTCTTTCAGAGTTTAAAGAAAATGGACTCATACACAGAACACTATGCATTTTGAAACCTGTTCATCCTGGATTTATTTTAATCATTTGTATCTCAGAACTTAAAAAAAATAATTAGATGTCTTCTGCACAGACTGTGAAAGAAGGTGCTTTGCAGATTGCTGCATTGCATCGGCATCTTACTGAAATGTGAATGAAGGACAATTGTACACTGCAATGCTAATGTATCCGAAGGCACAGGCGATGCTTGGTGCTGGTGGTCTTCACATTTGTGCTGGTTTTTGCCTCTGACATCTGCCATCAGTACTGAGGGTGAGAAGTGAATGTAACAGGTATAAGTAGCATTTAAAACTTAGAGCTTTGCTGTAATCACCGTTGTTCAGAGCACTGTCAGATTCATTCTGATGACCAGAAGTGGTTGTTTAAAACGAAGACAACCACAGGAAAGAAATCTTAAATGAAAAAGCATCTCATTGGAGGCTTCCCTGCCTCATATGCACTGGGCCATGTCTGTTTTCTCGGTACTCAGAAGGACATGTATTTCCCCGAGCTCTTTCCCTCAGTTGCTGTTCTGAAGTGCTCTGCTGTGTGCAGATGCATTGTACATGTTAGAGCAGAGCCGGAGTCTGGGGTGGCCGGAGCAGCTGCACAGCCACAGGCAGAGGGAGGACGGTGGTTTTGGTTTGGGGTTTTTTTGGTGTTAGAAATTTTACTTACAAAGAAAAAATTCCAGAGAGTTGTGCAGAAATACTGATTTCTACACCCTCCTAAAAGAAAAGGCGTGAGTGTTTGAATAGAAAAAGGTCTAAAAGTGGGGTCTTAAATTGTAACAGTCGCGTTTGGGGCAGAGCTCACTCGTGCAGTGAACGGGAAGACGACTGTAGCCTTTTTGTTTTCTGGTTTTCTTTTTTCTTTTAAATGAAGAAAAGCTTTGCTTAAGGGTTGCATACTTTATTGGAGCAAATCTGAATGATCCTCCTTTGGAGTAAAACTAGTGCTTACTGGTTTCCATTTGTATTTAGCTCTGGTTGGAATTTGAAAAAAATGAACCTAAATAAAATAGGAGACAGCTTCCTGGTGATTCAGGTGAGCACAGAGCTTGAAGTGGTCACTTCTTACACTGGTTCTGGTCACTGCAGAGGCTACTTTACTAACCAGCACATCCAGAAGGGCCGGCACCTACTTGGGAGTCTACATCTGGTCAGCTTTCAGTCAGCAGTTTCCTGCCCTGTCCCTTGATTCAGGGAAAAAGGAAAAAAATAACCTTTTTTTTTTTTTTTTTTGAGACAGGGTCTCTGTAGCCCCAGCTGACCAGGAAATCACTGTGTAGACCAGGCAGGCCTTGAACTTAGAAAGATCCTCCTGCCTCTGCCTCCCAAGTGCTGGGACTAAGGGTGTGCTCCACCACGCACGGCATGAACCAATTCTTAATGTGAAAAGGCATTTTCACATGTTCTGACTAGTTAAAAGTTAGAATCAGTTTGAAATAACATTTTGAATGTTGACGGTCAGGCACTCTTCCTCCAGAGTAGAAGTAGATGTACAGGAACTGCTGTGCACAAGCTCACTTAGAGGCTCTGCCTCTGGAGCCTAGTTTTTTGTTTAATGTATGTGATGAGTGCATGGGAGGGAGCCTGTGTGCAGTGCCAGAGCTACTATGTGGGTGCTGGGAGCTGAACCCCAACCCCTGCAAGAGAGGCTCATGTTCTTAGCTGCTGAGCCCATTGAGTAGCCATTGTATCAGGAAACGGGAATGTTGGCGGGGGTGAGGCAGAATGTGTTCCTGTGTAAGGGACATGTTTTCATTCTCATCTATGTTTTCTGAACAATTTGTTTTATATGTTGTAATTTAACCTCAAGTACTTTGGGCCAACTTTCCTTGTGGTCACCAGTCGAGGTGGCTGTACCACCATTTCCAGCTCAGAACACAACCCCCTTTACCACCCATATTCTTATTTTGTCTACACTTGGAAATACGGGGCCTCTGGGCTGGAGAGAAGGCTCAGCGGTTAAGAACACTGGCTGTTCTTGTAGAAGACCCAGGTTTGAATCTCAGCACCCACATGGCAGCTAACAACTGTCCTTAACTCCAGTTCCAGGGGGTCCGACAGCCTCTTCTGTCCTCTGTGGGCATTGCATGACACGTACGCACCTACCTACATGCAGGCAATATACATAAAAATAACAAAATATTAAAGACAAAATAGGCTCGTTGAAACTTCTCCAGTGAGTCCTTGACTAGAGTTCCTTGCTGTTCATGTTGCATCACTGACATTTGGGGACACAGGCCAACTTTTCATAGGAGCCTATTGGTTGTGCATTTGTGTCTGTTAATGGCTAATGCCCAGAAGCACTCCATCAGCTCCTGAATGTTCCCTTCTGTTTCTGTACTACGTACTATTCGGAAGTTCGCAAGTACCCTTTTTCATGAGTCAGACCAAACCAGACTTAATGACAGTCGTAAATGGAGATGTTCCAGATTACCTCGCCACACACGTCAACATCCTGTGAGCTTTGTCACATTTATTGACCATCAAAGCACTGTGCTATTGAGATGTCCCCACTGTGCATAATTTGCTTTTTAAAATGAGTATGAGTTATTTTAAGTGTGCTTGTCAGTCATGCAATGCCTGACAAAATCAGAAGAGGGTGTTGGATCCCCTGGAACTACAGTTAGCCGCCATGTGGGTGCTGGGAATCAAACCCAGGTCCTCTGCAAGAGCAGCCAGTGCTTAACTGCTGAGCCTCTCCCTAGTCCTAGCTTTCCTTGAGCACTTCACAGCTTTCAGCCCTGGAACTAGCTGTTCTTCCCAAGGGGAAGTGATAGAAATCAAGGTCTGGGTTTTCCTGCCTGCCCACTGCTAACTAAGGAGTCTACAGACCCGGCTCCTAATGTAGACCAAAAGCCAGCTTTTAACTGAGTGTTTCCACTCTAGTCTTGAAGTGTTCACTGGAATGGATTTAGAAATCGGGGTCCTGAACTTTCTAGACCTTTGAGAGGTGCACTGTGCTGTGAACCTTGTCTCAGTACTGGGTTATCTGGAAGGGCACATAGTGTTCTCTCCCTTTACACAGAAGATGCCAGGCCCAGACCTGTGATGAGTTAACTGGATTCGGGCCACTTAGTATCACAAATGTGCTGTGCTTCAGACTTAACTCTGGGGCATGTGGCACATGCAAGCCCTTTACTTTTCCAGTATATGGCTGTGTTCATCTATTTGGAAGTTTCATAATGGTCTCGAATAAAGGAAATGGGAAAGTGACGTAGCATTTTAGAGCTGGAAAAGCCCTAAAATCATTCAGGATCGGTGACTGCTATGGTCCAGAGGCCTGTGCCCCTGAAACTTGTCCCCTAAAGTGATGGCTTAGAAGGTCAGGTCCTCAGGGAAGTGTTCCATTAGAGACAACAGGGCACTCTGCCCCCTACCTCTCAAAGTGAGGGTGCAGCAAAAAATGCAACATGTGAAGGTGACCTCTTTCTGTTGCTTACAAGGTGTCCAGTCTATAGCATCTCAGCACAACCTGGACATGGACACCTGTCAGTTTCCACCTCTCCTTTGGCCCGATACTGACTTGAATTTTGGAGACTCTCACAGTGGTAGTGCTATCCTCTTTGCTTTACCTGTTTTCAAAACACAGAGCTAAAAACTGGCTAGGCAAGGTGCACAAACCTGTAACCCCACTGCGCAGGGAGCTGAAGCAGGAGGGTCTGAGTTCAAGGCCACCCTACGTGCTGCAAAGCCGGACTCAAAAACTAGTTCTTTAACTACCATGACCATGGTTAAAACGGAGGATGCGGCAAATGGAAAAGACATTCCACCTTTGCCCCACTGGGTTTCCTCGTTTCTTTTCCCCAAAGATAGTACTTAGTTACTTTTGCTCATTTATTTCAGAAAGGTGCTCACATCAACTTGCTGTTGGTTTCCTCGGGCCTTCCTGGCCGCCTCAGTTTCCCAGGTGTTTTGTGTGTCTGCCTTGTGCTATTATTTTCCCGGTGGCCTTACTGGTCAGATCCACGGAGGCAAATGCGAGTGTTCTCCCTTGTTTCAGGACGTGTGCTGTGATCAGTATTTCTTCTCCTATCTTAGCAGGTGACATGTACCTTGAAGAAAATACATAGCGGTAAGTGATTTTTGAAATGGAAAGTGGACATTGAACTGCCTTCCTATGTAACTTTCTTTAACCTAACCATAGTTTAGAATAACCGACAAGCTTTTGGTTTTCTCAGATCCAAATGGCTGGTCCTGATGAAGCTCTACCTGACTCCGTCCTGCATTTACACCCTTCATGGAAGCATGGGATTTCTTGCCTTTCCCCCACTTTAGATTTCCCATTTCATATTAACTCAGGGCTGCCGGAAAATGACCTCTAGCCTCCACCTCCCCTGCTTAACTTCCAAGGTAAAGGGTCTCTTGATGTCTAGACCTTGTCATGTCTGTACACTTTTCTTGACTCTAAGGTGACAATCCAATGAGCACAAGGAGTGAATGTGGGTCCTTTCCATCCTGGTAGTGCACTGCATAGACAGTTGTCCCTGGGTACCCATGAGGACTGGTTTACACCTTCACACCAAATCGTAGTTGCTCAGGTTCCTTCTGTTGTGCACATAGCCCATGCAAATCCTGCTGTGTGCATCTCTAGATACTCATCCAGTGCAATATGAACAGTATACAGATAGTACTGGGCATGGTTCAGAAGTGATGATGGTAGGGGAAAATAAACCCGGCACAGATGCAATTAAAATAGTTTGCTTTGGCGGTTGGACTTATGGATACAGAAGGCTAGCTACATGTTTTTTTACACTTCACATGCAATTATAATCATATTGCTTTTAATTGTTCCTCTAGTTAAACTAGAATCGGGGAGCTGGGTGTAGTGGTGCCTTAACCCAGCACTTCGAAGGTGGAGGGAAGAAGATCAGTAGTTCAGTGAGGTCATCGTCATCTACACAGTGAGTTTGAGATCAGCCCTGTATCAAAAAACAAACAAAATTCACTGTTTTAAACGGAAATAATTTCCGAGCTGGGTGTGGTGGTGCATGCCTGTAGTCCCAGCACTTGGGAGGCAGAGGCAGGCGGATCTCTTTGAGTTCAAGGCCAGCCTGGTCTACGTAGTGAGTTCTAGGACAGCTGGGGCTACAGGGAGACCCTGCTTCAAAAAAACAAAAAAAATTAATTTCCTTATAGTCTATTTTTATCTGCTTTTTATAAAGCAAAGGGTTTTTAAAGGTACGTATTTTTTCCAAATTCAGACTGGTTTGCATCCTAGAGGTGCATAGAGGAAAATTGGACTTGCTGGGTATGGTGATATACACCTGTAATCCCAGCACTTGGGAGTTGGAGGTAGGACTATCAGGAGTTCAAGTCCAGCTTCACTCAGGAAGTTTAAAGCCACCCAAAATTTGAGCCTGGTGTGGTGGCACTCACCTTTAATCCCAGCACTTGGGAGGCAGAGGCAGGGAGATCACTGTCTATGGCAGACATGCTCAGTCTGTGTAATGTAGACCTTAGGGTAGGACTGGGCACACAGAGCTCAGCTGTGGAATGCTTACATGGCATGTATGAGGCCCTCAGTTCACTGCCTAGTACAGCAAAAATACGAACAACCCAAAGGACTGTGCAGGGTAGAGCAAGTGGCATGTTCAATGACTGGAATACTCCTTTAGTTTGGATTTTCTATAACCTCTGAGACCATGCTCTACTACATCCTGGACTATTCAGGAGGATGATTACTGAGGTTCAGGCAGTGCTTGGGGTGGACGGTACTTAAGGCAACACATACTTTGAAAAGGCAAAACAATGCTTGATTTATTAGAAATTGTTGCAAGAGCTGCAGGACAAGAAGGCGGCCGGCTCAGGAGCTTTCTGTCTGTTTTATTTTACTAGTTTTAAAGATTAAAACAAATTTGTGATGGTTTGTTCACATGACTGTGTGCCTGTAGAAACCAGAAGGCGTGTGGTCCCCTGAACTCGTTATAGGTGGTTGGGAGCCTTCCAGTGTGTGTCGGAAGAGCAGCGAGCACTCAGCTAGGGAGCCTTCTCTCCAGCCTTCTGCCCATTTAGACCAGAGCCTTGTGGGCCTCAAGTGGCCCATTCTCACCACAGAGGACAAGGCCTGTGGAAGCCTCCTGAGCAGTCTCCTCTGGCCAGCCCGCCTCATTTTCTGGTTTTGTCCTGTGATTTGTTTACCATGCTATCGATTTATCCAATACTGAAGAGGAATTGTTCCATTCTCTTTTTTATTGAAATTCTCTCACTATGTAGCTGGCCTTGAAGACCCTCTTGCTTCAGCCTTCAAATACTGGGATTCCAGGCATGAGCCCCCATGCCTGCTTTTGAAATTCAAGTTTCCACACTTTGGAAAAGTGATGTCTGCAGCCATGTTTGTAACAGTGAGTGACAGGCTGAGGGTGACAGGCTGAGGTCTGGGGCATGCTCTGCCCCTCATCCCATCATTGGACCCCACAGAGATGACCATAGTCACAGGAGAGACCAGAATCCCCAGTTCCCAGCACCCATATGGTGACTTAAAAACCGTCTGAAATTTCAGTTCCAGGAGATCTGATGCCCTCTTCTGGCCTCTATGGGAATTGCATGCATGAGTGCATTTAGTTATATGTGGGCAAAGCACTCATACACCAAAAATACACACACACACACACACACACACACACACACACACACACAC